CTCTCCTCTCAGCAACCTCCTCTTCTCTGAGCTGCCCACAGACCTGACTCCTATGTGCCCTGCTTGGGTATTTGCTGTTTGTCCTGATACCCACCAGGTGATGATTTGTTTAGTGTTGGTGTCTTGACTCACTGGGAGCTTCTAAGACACTTGCTCTTAAGTCCCTGGTACCCAGCACAGGATAACACACAATAGAAACACCACAAATACAGTCTGGATCATCAATTATACCTAGCTAGTTGCCTAGGTAACTGACTCTAGTCTCTGTAACAGTCATGGAGACTGGTGTGATCTACCCCTTTTATAGCTGGGCATGCCGAGGCTCCTAGAGCCCACACAACTTGCACAAGGACACACAGCTAGTGAGCATGGTAGAGACTTGGCTCTCCTGACCAAGCCTGCTACTCACTCTATCCAGTCTGTGGAGATCCTAAGTCCTGTATATGGTGGAGCCCAGAGTGGGGCCTCTGTCCAAGACTACAACCCCCTCGCTGCAGGAGGCCCCACTCTCCCTCCCGGGACCCCTATGGGCTTCTTTTGCCTTCCCATCAGAGCTGCTTAGCAGTGGCTGTGAAAGGGGAGGGTTCCCCTGCATAGGGGGCGGGAAACTGAGGTCCCATAAGGAAGATATCAATTCCTGCTACCCAGACCAAAGAACAACAGTGAAACCCTCTCCCAGCCACCAGCCACCCACTGTTTGCCCTGGCCTGGGGTCCAGCTCCAGGCAGCGGCTCACTCCCACTGGCCACTGCTCAGCCATCCTGCCCTCCCTTGGTCCTTCTGGAGCTCCAGAGGTAGAGCAGGGCCACCAGCAGCCTAGCCATCTTAAGAGATAGGGGCTGGACAGCATGGGAGCTGGGCTCTCATTCCATCCTGACCTTGCATGACTTGCTCTCCTGACACTGGGAAGGTTGCCCTCTTCCTGCTCAGGAGGCTGACCTGCAAGCTTAAAGTCCATGGTGCATCTGGGTGGGGGCAGATTGTCAGAGAGAACCAAGGAGAGTGATGGAACTCTGACCGGAGACCCTGATCCAGCCAGGGCACCTGAGACATGAATGTTCCCTTCTCTGAACTTTGGAGCTGGGGCTTCAAGAGATGGTCTCTGGGGTAACCAGAAGTTACCCGTCCACTAAGCCTCCTGGACTACTTTCCATCCAGGCGGTCCTGCCATGCTCATGGGTGGCCCCAGGGATAAGCTGAGAGAGACCTCCAGGGCCTTTGGATGCTGAAGGGCCTTGGCGAGATTCTGTGCCTGTAAGGACTCTCTGAGACCCAGATTACTCATCTAAGATGGGGCAGTGCTGATTTTACAGGCCTTGTGGGATGATGAGGGATGATGTACGCCCTCAGGTGTTGGCCCAGTGCCTCAGCTGGCAGAGCAGAATCTGCTCTGGAGCAACTGTCTTGACCTCCATGATGGTGATATGCCCACATGGCCTGCTCCCTACAGGGCTCAGGGTCAGGCTCTTGACTTGAGCATCTCTAACATCAGCTGAAGCTCCAGTTTCAGATCCCACACAGAGAAAGGAGAGCCAGCCCTCCCAAGTAGAGGAATACACCATTGCTGAGTGGCTCCTGAGCCAGTTCTGGGGCCACTGACTCCTCTCGGTACTGTGTCCCCATCCTGAGAGGAGGAAATGGGACTCGGCCAATAAAGACAAGGGTTTTAGGAGGGTGTGTACAACCACACGGAGGAAAGAAGAGATCTCTGTCTCTGTCTCTGTCTCCCTCTGTGTCGTGTCTTGATCTTACTTTTGTTCTTTTCAAAGTTTAAAAATATCACACATGCCAAGAATGTATTTCTAACAGTGGGGTTTTACTGGGCACCTCTTTTGTGTTGTAAAAGCCCTGCTTGGGATGAGCTCTCATTACAGAACTCCCTACCAATCCACAGAGGCAGGACTTCCTGCATCCCCTTTACAGGTGAGGAAGCTGGGCTCAAACCAGGAAGTCCAATCTTAATCATTTTGTGACCGAAATGTGCACTAGGTGAAGGGGTCGGAAACAACCCCAGTGTCCAACAATAGGTATTACTGAAATAAATTCTGTTTCTTCTCAAAAGAATAGTTTTCAGCCATTCACAGCCATATCACAGAAAAACATTAGAACGGCGTTGAAAACTGTAATATGTGGTCTGGGAAGGTAGCTCAGTGGTAGATCACTTACCTAGCATGCACGAGGCCCTTAGGATCAAACCCTGCCTCCCCCATTGTAAGGTGAGAAGCAAGCAAGCAAGCCGGTATAATATACAGCAGATTTTAGTCCATCAAAGCAAAAAACAACAGACTATGGAGAAAAAAGAAAAGAAAGAAAAATAGGGGACGTGTGCTTCAAAAATTATCATTAGCTAACAGAATTACAGCCAACTTCATTCTTTTCCTTTTCCAAAAATAAAAGTTGCTTTAAAATAAGCACAAAATAACCATTTAAACACACATCCACCCATCCACCCATCCACCCCTCTCACATCTGCACGGTGAGACCTAGGCATGCCCTGCCTCCGTTTCCTCTTCCTAGAGCTGGCAAAGCGCTGGGCTGAGGAGGCCCTCTGCAGCTCTGACATCCGGTGGCCCTCACACCTCCTCTCTATGCGTTCTGAAGCCTCTGATTGTTTTCTGTGACAGTTGTGTGGGTTTTCTGCAACATTGAAAAACCACACAATGAAGAGGAAGCCACAGGCCCCCAAACCTGGCAACTCTTAGCATCTTGGGGCATGGCACCTTATCTCATTGGGTCCTCATAAGCAATTGGGCATTTAATAGATGAACTAAGGCTCAGAAAGCTTATAAAAATTGTCCAAAGTCATACAGTACATGAGGGGCATCCACAAATATAGTACTGCCCCCTGGTGAATCCCTTACTTGAGGGGATGGGCATCTTCTAGACCTGCACCCCCTCCCCCAAGTCCTTGGTCCCCGGCTGCAGTCCCAGAACCCCAAGGAGAGAGACAGCGGGCATCCTACCCTAGCCTTGAGCCCAGCCCCTCCCTGGAACAGGCTCAGTGGGTAGAGGATGCTGGCAAGGATTTGGAGATGGGTGGGGGCAGCCCTCAGAGGAAGGTCTCACCTGGCAGTGTAGCTGGAGTTTGGCTAACACTTGGCAATGGGGACCAGGGTCAAGACTGGACTGTAGGTTGGATGGAGGAAAGACAGAAGGCTGAAATGGGAGGCTTTGGGGTGGGAAATCTGGCCAATGAGACCTTAGCTGTTTTGGCGCCTCTTGATACCATCTCCCATGGCTGCATGTGCCATTCTGATACCCTCTTCCCACTGTGTGTGCCAGAAAAGGGCCGTGCCAGGAGATAACCCGAGACACCAACAGTAAGAGCTGCAGAGATCTCTAGGCTCCCCGGCCACTGAGCCTCCCCCAGTGCCCACGTCACCCTTCAATGCTCCAAAACCCTGCACAGGCTGCTGGGTAAATCTAAGGGCACATCCAGCTCAGGCTTTTCCTTTCCCCTGCATAGAGAGGCTACTGATCACTTAGAGATGAAAAGGCAGAACTTTCTCCCTGCAATTCAGGTTCACCCCAGCCTGGTCCAGGTGGAGCTGCCACATTGCACCTCCTGGTGAACTCAGAGCCTGTGACTGAAGGCATCCTCCAACCCATACTTCAGAAGAGCTGTGTGACAGGGTGCCCTTGGGCAATTCCCAGCTGACGGTATAAGATCTTCTGGGGGTGGGGAAATGGCTCAGTGGTTGAGAGCACTGGCTGCTCTTACAGAGGACCTGGGCTAACAGCTAACAACTGCCAAAACTCTAGTTCCAGGGGATTGGACGCCTTCTTCTGGCCTCGCAAGCATTACACAACATGGGTGCACTTACATACACGCAGGCAATACACTCTACACTGCCCCCCATACCTTTCAGTCTCAGGAGTTGCACCTACCCTGCTGGGGCCTGGCACTCACTAGCATGTGCTGCTCTACCACCGAGCTACACTCTCAGTTGGCATGCAGCTCTCTTAGAAACAAGAGACAAGAAAAGCCCCAATGCTCAGCACTTACTGATGTCCATGGTCTGAGCACCCCTACTATGATTACTCTCAAGCCATCAATACCCTATCCTGGAATGCGCCATCAGCTCTCACTCCTGTTCATCCCAAAGTGGGAACCAGCCCAGGGAAGAGCTGTGCCACTTCAGGCAAGTGACTTAACCTCTCTGAACCCCATGCTTCTCATGTGTAAAATAGGAATGATACCATCCAGCAATCAGCAAGCCAGGAAATCAAGTGACAGAATCTACCAGGGCTTTCTGTACTGAGACTGGGGAATAACAGTGACAAACTAGTTGACAGCTACTGGTCTCCCAGACTTAACCCCCTGCAGTGAGACTTCGGGTTCTGTGGCCTGAAGACAGTGCTGGATACACTAGTTATTATTTGGGATCTAGCGTTATTGCTGTTGGTCCTTCCTCCAGCCTCAGTGTCCTTATTTCTAAACTGGCTGGGGCTGAATAAAAAACCTTTCAACAATGCCACTCACCTGGGCCTGAAGGTGGTGCTGGAGGGAACATCACCACGCCCATTTTCTGGAGGGGTAAACTGAGTCTCTCACAAGTGAAGCCTAACTCGGGCTTTCCACTCCATTTCTAGTTCCTCTGAGGCAACCCACTCACGGTCCCCAGGCACCCACAGTGGGTGGAGTCTCTGACACGTGGCTCCTCCCTCCTCTGGCTGGGGATCCACTAACCCGCGCAGTTCCCAAGCCACTCCCAGCAAAGCCCAGAGCCTGCACTGTCCCGGTCCCTTTGGAAAGCACGGGCCAGGGAGCTGATGAAATCCCCTCGCAAGAGAGCCCCATCGCATGTTTTTAATGCAGACCAGCTGGCTCTGGGAGGGAAGGCCCGTGTGGGCCCTTGTCCCTCTTGCGGGAACCTCCGGGACCGGAGATAAACCCAGACAGCTTGAGACACTTGAGCAGGTCCACCAGACTTAGTCCCATCCAGCCCGGAGCAGCTATTCTATAACCTCAACCAAAACAGCCCAAACATCAAACCCACCAGCACAGAGGAGGAACCTGGGAAATTCCTCGGAAGTCTCGGTGCGGATCTAGCCTCAGTCCTTCAGGCTTCAGAGTCAGCCGAGTTCTCTGTTCTAGAGCGCAGAAACAATGTCCCTTTTCACTGAGGCGGGCCCCGCTTCTCTTGTGCGCGCTGAAAGAGCTCGCATTTGTTTTCGGCACCTTTGCCTTCCAACTTTCTCAAAAGCAGGAGAGTTTTGGAAGATGGAGATAAGGATTCGCTTCGACCTGTCATTTCTCTCCACTGAAGCCCGGGGAGAGGAGCATCTGAGGTCCAGATTCCACAGCGCGCGGGCTCGGGCTCAGCCTCCTGCCACAGAGCAGAGACCAGCTCCGCCTCCCCGCTGTGCGCCCTGGGGAAAGCTGCACTGCCTCTCTGGGCCTCAGTCACCTCTGCTGTACCCAGAAGGGCCTGGCCCTGTTTCAGCAGCTCCTCCCGGTTCCTGTCGCCGTGGAAGCAGCGCACCCGACTCTGGCTCTCTCCCTACCACCCTCCCCCAGTCCAAAAAGAGGAAAAGAAACTTGCGTGGGGCGTCCGCGAAGGGCGCACGGCTCGCAGGCTACCAGGCGGCAGGACTGTTGCCGGGTGACCCAGTCTCACACACATCCCAGAGCAGCAGAGCCCCACCTCCCGAGTCACCAAGCAACAGGGCCACGCCTCCTGCCCAAACGCCACCAGCGGCCCCGCCAAGGACCACCCCGTCCCCTGGGACCCCGGCCGCCTCCGTGATCGATAGGCCTGGGCTGAAGGGAGGCAGCGCACGCCCCCATTACGCGGAGGTGGAGACTGAGGCCCGAGGGCGGGGAGTGGGGCGTCCCGGCAGCCAAGGGTGCAGCCTGGACGATGATCGCGCCCAGGGCTCCGGATCGGTCCCCGAGGTCTCACGTGGAGACCTGGAGCTGCGCGAACCCTGCGGGGCGTAGCCCAGTGCCGCTGTCCACTCCTGTCCCCATTCTCCCGACTGAGAAACTGAGTCCCCAGGGGCCGAGCCGCGCATCCAAGTCCCTTTTCCCTCCACCTTCACAGGGTCTCACCTGCGGCGCGCTTGAGTTCCTGGAGTTGAGCGGCAAAGGCAGCCAATCCGCGCGCAGCATCGGGCGCGGCTGCTTTGCATAATGCTCGCGGCCAGGCAGGGACAGCGGAGGGGGCGCGTTATAGAGGCGGGGATTCTGGGAGCTCCACCAATCACAGAGGGCAGCCGCCCTCGCCCCGCCCCTAGGACGCTCAGATCTACTCTTCTGCTACTTCTTGCCGGGACCTGCCTGTTCACAGATGGGGAGACTGAGGCCCGGAGCTTGGAGAGGAGAGAAGGGGAGACCGAGACCCGGAGGGTCGAGAGGGGACATCCCCACGAGGAAGGAATCCACAGGTTTGACGGAGGAGATGGATCGCTTAATGACTGCAGAAATATGTGCTCACTGTGTGGTATTAGCCCTCCCCTGTGAGGTAGGTGGGGTCACCACGCGGTGTGGGGCATAGGACTGACCTGGGCTCCTGCCCCAGCTCTGGCTCTTGCTCACAGGGAATGGCATCCTATGAGGTTCACCACCCCCACTTCTGAGGCTGCAGACCTGTGCAAACAGCTCTGGGCTTCAACCCCTCCCAGGCTCTAATCCATTTAGAAGCAGCATCCCACCCCATCCCACCCCCATCACACAGGGAGTTCACAGGCTGTCCTCAGTCCGCTCTGTGGCACCCAGGTCTCTTTCCCCGCCTGTGACTCCCTGAGTGTTTTTACTGCCAGGCATCCCTACATTCTTAAGAGCACCACAACAGTGGCTGGCTTCCGCACCAAAGGCAGGCTCCATGCAAGGGGTAAAAAGGCTTTCAGCTAAGTCTTACAGAAACCTCCCAGGTCAGCATTACACTCATCACATAAAGATGGGCAAACTGAGGCTCACAGAGGTCAAGTGGGTTGCCCAAGGCAATCTTTCCTTCTGCCTGCCTTTTCCATCAAAGCTGAGGCCCTGGAAAGTCAGGGCAAGTCATGCGCACACCCTCATAGAAGTGAGCCATCCTGGCTAGTTTTTGTTATCAACTTGACACAGCCTAGAGTCACCTGGGAAGAGAAAACTTCAATTGAGGAATTTTCCAGATCAGATAGGCCTATGGGCCTGTTTTGTGAAAGATTGTCTTGATTAATGATTGATGTGGGAGGGTCCAGCCCACTGTGGGCAGCTCCATCTCTAGGCCTGTAGGTCTGGGTTGCATCAGGAAGCTCGCTGCGCTAGCCAGTGAGCAGCGTTCCTCCATGGTTTCTGCTTCAGGTTCCTGCCAAGCTCCTGCCTTGGTTTTCCTCTGTAATGGAACTGTGACCCCAAGGTGTAATAAACCCTTACCTCCCGGGAGTTGCTTTTGGTCCCATAGTGGGGCAACATAGAAGTCACCTGAGGCTCAGTGAGCTGTATCACCTACCAAGAGCCTGCTCAGGGTTCCCCAGAAGGAAGGAGCCCCTCTGAGGTGCTCTGGCAAGGAGCAAGGAGGTCCTCTCCTTGTCTTTGGCACCATGAGAAATGATGTCAGGGCACAGCACACCATAGCCAAGGTGGACCTCTGCCCCCTCCAACTCCCCACCGTACGGGGTCCCTTCCAAGATACCATTTTGCATGTCTATCCTGGGGCTCAGGCTGTTGGGGTACAAGCTTGATCTTTATAAGCTCGCTACCAAGGAATTTAGGGGTTTAAAATTTCACTGGAAGCCTGTGCTTGTTGCAGCTCCTGGAGAGGGTGAGGGAACAGGATTACAAGTTTGAGGCTCTCCTGAGCTAAAAAGCGAGACTGTCTCAAAAGTTTTAAAGAGCTGCGATATATCTCAGTGGTAAGTGTTTCTTAGCCCTAGGTTCAATGCCCAATATTGCAAAAATGAATGAATAAACGGATGGATGAATGGATGCAATTTCCCCAGTAGGGCAGATTGTAGTGTAAAAGCCCATTGGGAACTTAGCAAGAGTCAGGCCCAGGAATTCTGGAAGCAAAAGGACTAGAAACTCATTCTTGTTCTCTTTCGTGGCACAGACTTGGGGCCGTGAGGTTTTGTCCCTAAGGGATTGGACCTGGTGAGTAGATGGATTTTGTCCAGGGCAACATGACCTGCCCTTCAGGTCACAGAGTAGTAGGTCACTAAGTGGCCTATAATCCCTCAGCCTGCCAGTAACAGCCTAGAAGCTCTGTGTTCAGAACAGACCCACAGGTTCTGGTCTGGGGGAGGTGGGGTGTTCTGTCATGGCCACAAATAATCCTGTGGGTAGGGGATCCCTGGGCCTGTGGATAATACCCCACACTTCCTCATCCATGGGAAGGAGCAGGGCAGACACGATGTCAGTTCTCTACTGCTACAGGTCACCCACCCTATTTAATGTCTTCAGTGTACAGATGTGCTCTCTTACAAAGAGGTTAGAAGTCCAAGTCCATACAGGCTCCAAGGGGAGAGTCCATTTCCTGGCTTTTCAGCTCCTAGGCCAGCCTGCGTCCTTTGACTCACTCCCATCCATTCCTCCACTGTCAGTGTGGCCCTCCACACAAGCTTCTCCCATTATCACACCCCCTTTCCCCTCTTCTCCTTCTCATAAAAGACCCCAGTGATGACATGGGCCCCCCCAGATGACCCAGGATCATCTCCCACCTGGGGACCCTGTTGCCTCTGGGTAGCCTATTACTAAACCCACTATGTGATTCTTATCAGGGGAAACCTGAGCACACAAGTGACCTGCCATGACCCCACAGGATTTGAACTGGAGTCTGATACCAGGACCCCTGAGACCTGGCAGAGTCCACTGCAGTTGGGTGGGGGTTATTCCCCTGGAGCAGTAACAGACCCTTCGGGAAAGGAGAGGATAGCAGAACCCCTGAGAGAGGCTGAAGCCTTGGGTGGGTGTGGGTGGGTACCCGTTGCCTTGGAAGGAGCATGGCTGTGGCCTCGGGTGGTCTGCCTGGGCTTGGAAGAAAAGGACAGCTAAGACCACAATCTGTGTGTATGTGTGTGATGCTGAGGATGGAGCCCAGGGCCTTAAAGAGTAAGCACTCTATCACTGAACCTCACCCCTAGCCCAAGAAGACCTTAAAGGAGACCATGGTATGGATGCTCCTGCCCACCTCAGGCTTCCCTGGACCCCATGCTGCTAAAGCAGGGCTTGCCAAACTATCCCACCAGACATCACAGAGATAGGAGGAAATAGCCCTGGGGCTCACCCTGAGGCTACAGGCAGCCCAAGCTTTGCCACCTTCTCTGTCCTACCCTCTGTTGTGTTTGTTTCCAATCCCCACTACCCTTGGCTGCTAGATCAGCTGGGCCTGCGCAGGACAGAAGTTCACTGCCTTGGCTGCAGGTCTCACCCACATAGATGCAGATGTGCCAGGCCCCAAGTGAAAACAATGCCCAGTCTTTCTGCCCTTTGAGGATGGGGTCACAGGTGCCCTCTGAGAACTGTCCTGTTCATGGCTTCCTTCCCTCCCTGTCCTTCCCTAATGAGTCACTTGCCTATAAATCTGGGTCTCAGAGTCAGCTTCTGGGATCCTACATAAGATGGGCAATCTGGAGTGTGTGCATGTATGTATGCACATATATGTGTACTCAAGTGTGCTTGTGTGAGCTCATGTACATGCATGCACTCTTGTGTGCTCACTCATGAGAAGGCCAGAGGTCAACCTCAGTCCTGATCCTGAAGAGGCATCCTTTGTTGGGACAAGGTCTCTCATTGGCCTGTTGCTTAAAGATTAGGCTAGGCTGAGCCCCAGGGATCCTCTTGTCTCTGCCTCCTCAGTGCTTGGATGACAAGTAAATGTTAGAGCACCTGGCTTTTTTATATTGATTCTAAGGGATTGAATTTAGGTCCTCAGGATTATACAACGATTACTGATGTAGCCATCTTCCCAGCCCCAGTGTGTGTTTTTAAATATCTCTGGCCATTGCATGTTCTACCCTGTAGCACCTGTGTGTGCCTTTAGTTTTAAAATGTTACCTTCACGTACTTTATACCTAAGGTAAGGTGGTCTAAGATGCATATCAGACCCAAACTCCATTTCTTCCCTCCCCCATGTACCCCCAACTGAGCAGGAGTCCAGGGTGCAGTTGCTAGTGTGTGATGCTATGAGTGGCCCTATCTTTCCATCCCTCCCCTCTCCCCACACCAAGCAAGTTAAACCCCAGTTCCACAGGCAACAACATAGCATAGTGGCTCCTAACCTTGTTCAGATTTCTTTATTGAAAAATTAAAGTCATAAGCTCTGTATATAAATACATGGACATTGCTGGTTGCCTGCAAGGCCTCTGGGGTAGGCTGGGGGTGCAAGGGAAACCTGGGACCTAGGGTCCCCTGAAGCGTGGGAAGAGAAATAAATAAATACCATGGGGACATGGAGCCAGGAGGAAGGGGGGCGCTACAGGTGTGAACAGGCGTGCTGGCGGCTCATTTGTGGCACTGAAGTTCCCCCGGGCAGGACGCTCCATCTGTGAACTCTCCTGTGACCTCATTCCAGGCATCTAGGGGTGGCTAGGGCAGTGCCTCCCCATCCAGCCCAGAGAAACAGGTGCTATGCCCGTCCCCTGCCTTTCCTCCCTTCCCATAACCGACTTGTACTAAGCACCTACTGTGTACCTGACACACAGATTCTGACCTGACTTTTCTGCTTGCCTGGTTGGACTCTTTTTCTCCTAGTCTGACCCAGTGGGCCAGTGTGTGTATGGGTGGGTGGGGGTCGGGGGGTGCCTGCCTGCAACCCTGGCCTATATAGCCTGAACCTTGAGCCCTGCCCCTAGAGCATCACGTTGAACTCAGTGACCAAAAAGTCAATGTAGTCCCTTTCCTTGGTCTTGAAGGCCTCAGCGATGACACGGGCAGCTTCTCGATGCTCTTTGCCCCGAAGAGTCAGTCCATTCACTTCCAGGATCACATGCCCCACCTTGAGCTGTCCACAGTTGTGGGCAGAACCTCCGCGCTGCAAGGGGAAACATAGCCAGGGGTCATGTAGGCACCTGGCTTTGACCATCCCCCTAGGCAGCTAGATGCTGCCAATCTGGAGGCCACAGCCTGGCGAGGTCAGGGTTTTGCAGAGCAAGGGAGAGGTGACTTTTCAAGTTCTGGTTCAAATGGAGTGGGGCTGGGGGGCAGGGCCTGTTTCTCCTCACCTTCCCAGGCAGCCCAGCACTTCAAGGAGCTTGCTGTTCAAGAGAGGGCACTGTCCTCAGGCTCTGTACCACCTCCAGGGAGGCAAACAAACCCCAAGGGAGCTGTCTCCTCTTTAGGCAAGGAGACACAGATAAGAGCATTTGGGGATGTATGTACCTGAATTGTGACGATCCTGGGCAGAGGCTGGCGTGTGTTGGCACCGCCCTCAATGGCAATGCCCAAGGTGGCTGCACTTTTCCTCACACGGACCAGGGTGGACGTGGGTTCCAGGAGGCCAGGCTGTGGATAGGAGGAAGGTGGCCCTGAAGCTTTTCAGTGGGGAACACTCCTCTAGGCCAACAAGGCCAAGTCTTCAGGCTGTGTTGGAGCCTCAAGTGTGACACAGATTAAGCTAAGCACCCTATGTCTTTGGCTTTTTAATAATGTTCAAGGCCCAGACTGGCTGTAGCAGGGTCTTGAATGCAGGCCTTGCCCCAAAGACTGCCTGAGTCATCACACCACACCAGAGCAGAGGAAACTTGCTCAAGAGTCTCAGGAATAGCTGCTGGCCTTAGTCACCCAGGATTAAGGCAAGGCAGAAACGCAGAATCTTAGCACAGTGATATTTGTGGATGGGTCCTTCCAGTGACAGAAGGGTTCACTGCCCCGAGGACCACTCTCCAAGTAACTCCTGGTCCCCAGAACCTTCCATCCTCCACTCAGGCCCTCGGTGTACTCCCCAACTCACAGGTTTGTTGGTGTTCTCCACGGTTCTCTCGGTCCGAGCCAGCTCCTTGCCGCTCCTGCTCTTGGTAGATGCTGTTTGTCTGCCTCGGCCTGGAGCGCTGGCCTCCGTCTCCCCAGCATCCACACCACTGTCCTCGCTCAGAGTCTGCCCACTGTCTGAGAGCTGAGAGAGTGTGGAAGCTGCTGGGGATGGACAAGGAGACAGCAGCAGTCAGGGAGGGCAACCTCAGGGAGGTGATGGAGGTGGGAACTAGATGGCTGTGGGAATTTGCCCTGCTGAAGATGGAGGGCTGAAGGGCTGAAGAGAACAGAACTCTGGAACACGGCAGGCTGGAGGACTCTGTGGGTTGACAACAGGCGAGGCCTCCGGTTATTACTGACTCCCATCTCCCCTGCCTGTGGGCTTTCTCTCCTCACACCCACCAGCTCTCCTTTGGCCAGCTCCCTGGCCACCGTGGGGCAGCAGGTATCACTTTAGCCATTAGATGGCAGCAGACCCCAGCTAACTGCTAGAGAGCCAGTGCGTCCCTCCCTAGGAAAACATCTCTTAGAAACATCTCTTAGAAAACAGGGACTGGTGGTGCACAGTACCTAGGCTCACCTTGATCTATGCTAGACTAGGGGCTAGGGGCCAGGGAAAGCAGAGGCTAGCACTGGCTTCCCACGTTCAGTCTTCCTGGGGAGGTCAGGAGTGGATGCAGGGGCAACACTGGGGGACACAGGAGGTCTCTACCCCCACTGACTTGGCAGAACTGTCTCTGTCTATGCCACATCCCCAAAGGAAGGTACCACTCAGCCAGGCTGAGTAGCTGTGTACCCACAGGACTAGTCTAGTTCAATAGTAGAAGCAGCATTTAAACTCAAGTCTCAGCTCCAGGCCACCTCATGATGACCTTGAACCAGAGCTCATGTGTTCAGCAACACCTGGCTCCATCAGTCACTGTGGCAAGAGGAAGAGGGATTCAGGGATCCAGGGTCCCAGCTGGGCAGCCCAGCATTGCTCCTCCAGGGCAGCCATACTCACTGCGAGTCTGGGGCAGAGCTCGAACTTCGTTCACATCAGGCTCGCTGTCGGGGCGGTGGACCTCCACCAGGACGAAGTGCTGGTTTGCACCCACAGCGTCTGGGTGGTCAGAGGGTGACGGTGGTGGAAGGCAGCCCCCAGTCCCTGGGGTCTCTGCTGGAGGGCTCTTCAGGTGAGGAGGGGACTGGACCCGAGGGAAAGGGCCAATGGGGTGCGGGCTGACCAGGGCCAGGTGGGCATCCAGGGACTTCCTGGAGCTGGGCTTGGCATGGGAGACGGAAGCGTAGATGGGAGAGGAGGGGGAATCCTGTGCCGAGGGTCCTGGAGTGGGTGTGACACCCAGTGGAGGACTGCGATTCCGTGGTGCCGAGAAGACAATGCCGGAGTGGCTGGCAGAGGATGGAGGCGGAGGGTCCTCCCTCCCTGCTTTCCATGGCTGGTTAAGCAGGCGGTCGTGACCTTGAGCCAGAGGTGGGGCGGGAGGTGGCGGCTTGATGCCAGGCAGCCCTTCCGAGGAAGATTTGACATCGTCCTGCCAAAAGACCCAACAGGAGTAGAAGTCAGAGCCCATGGTGTTAGGAAGGGGTAGCAGGTGGTCCTGGGCCCGGATGAGACAGTTCCGAGCTCCTCAGCTCCCTGCCACACTGTTCTGAATAATGCATCGTCCAGTGGAAAACTGCACCCCATATCTCTGCAGCTGAGGAGCGTCAGGATCTTGGCAGGCGTCTCTGGGGATCCACTCAGTTCCTTTGGGAACTGAAGTTCTTGGCATCGGCTGGGACTCATCACAGGCGACAAGACTTAATTAGAGAAAGGAGGAAGAGGACGGCAACACAAAACAAACACTTCTGTTGAGGGGTGGAGCTTGACTCCTAGAGCTGGCAGAAACGATGAAATGGACAGAGGAGGCAACTGGGGGCTGCGGGGCTGTGTGACCCCAGGCAGGGCAAGGTGCCTCTCTGAGCACAGTGCATCTACCAGAAGACTAGGCAGGGCTGCGAGCAGTCTTGTGTGCAATGCATTAGCAAGTGTGGGGGCTGGGAGGGCTGGGTGACCCCAGGCAGGGCAAGGTGTCTGTAGCCCGGAAGCGACTTATTCCTCTGAAGAGCTATAGACAAGCGCAGGGCACCCTGGGAAGAAAGGTGGAGCCTAGCTTGGAGGGAGAGAGGAACGAAGGGAGGAGGTGTGCCGCTGCCAAAGAACAAGGCCAGAGTGTCCCGAAGCCTGGAAGTGAGATGGGGCATTTACAGACCTGGGATGCCGGTGAAAGCCAACGGAGACTGTGGGCAGGGCACGGAAACGATCAGAAAGGGTGCTGTTTGTTTGTAAGTCACCCCGCACTCCCCACCATAAAGGAAACCCCAAAACTAATGTCTTATGTTAGTCTGTGAGCCTGAGGCCTTGGGAGGGAGCCTCCCAAGAAGAGAAAAGGGAAAAAAATTTAGTGCAACAGTGCCGCTCTAAGTACAGTGCATCTACCAGAAGAATAGGCAGGGACCGAAACAGTCCTGTGTGCAATGCATTAGCAAGTGTGCACGGTGAGTGGCAGAGATGAACTATAGCTACCAGTTCCCTCTCCCCAGGCCAGTATCTTAACTTGCAAATCTTAGCAGCCTTATACACACCAGCCCAAAGCTTTACTTAATCAGTTAACTTACTCTGGCCCCCAACTTATAAGTTAGGTGCAGACCATCCCCATGTTACAGATGGGAAAACAGAGACACAGAGAGGCCTAGAAGCTTGCCCAAGGTCACCCAGACAGCAGATTGGAACTCAGGCATTCAATCATAGCCCTCCAGAAGGCATATGGGTCAGAATTCTATGAGTATGGCATCATGCATAGCCTTTAGGTCCATCTGAGCACATGACCTCTTACCTCCTATTCCAGGTGTCTGTTCTTGCAGTGACAATGGTCAGACACCTCAAAAGTGGACCCCTTCCTGAGCCTGCTGTGGTCAGTTGGCTTGGCAGCCCTGCCTGCAGTCCCCAGGAGCAAGGTGGCTGAGCTGCAAGCCTCAGTGCATGTCTCCGGCTGGGCTGGTGGGCTCTTGGCAGAGGCTCTTCCTCTCAACCACCCTGTGTCCTCTCTCTTGGCTGTCCCTAAGAAGAGCCTAGCAGTCCCTAAGCATAGCAGGGAGGGCAGTATGGTACAGGTAGGGCCTTACCACGGACACATCCTGGAGGGTGTTGACGCTGCCCTGGGTGGTCTCTCCAGTTTCCTCCAGGTCTAGTGTATTCTGGAATGGACAGGAGACAAGCTGAGCAGACAAGAGCTGAGTGGAGAGCCTATCTGCTTTCCAGGACTCAGAATCAGCAGCCCTGTAACTCCTTCCTGTGGTTCAGGCCACCCCAGATTTACCCCACTCTGTCAACATTTATCTCACCCATTAAAAGCACTGCAGTGACTTTTCTGTCAGTTACTTTGAGGTAAATTTTTTTCCTTTCTTTTTTTAAAGACAGTGTCATGTAGCTCAGGCTGGTTGCTATGCACCCAGGATGACCCTTAACTTCTGATCCTTTGTGTCCACCTCCCAAATGCTGGGATTATAGGTACCTACACATCTGGTGTATAATGTGCTGGGACTCAAACCCAGGGCTTTGTGCATGTTAAGCAAGCATTCTACCAACTGAGCCATATCCCCAGTTCTTAAGTAATTTTTTTTTCCTTTGGGGCTTCCTGATCATTTTCAAGCTTTCCTGAAATACCTGGAAAAGCTAGGTAGGGAATTCCTAAAGCCTGCCGTGAGTGCTGTGCCCAACAGATTTGACACCCCCAAACCCAAGGCTAAAGCTTAGCTCTCCACTGCTAGGGATGGGCAGAGTGCTTGGGGAAGGGAATGGGCCAAGAGCAATGAGATGTGCACAGGAAAGGAGCTCTGTTCCTGTTCTATCCCAAAGGGGTAGCTTAAAGTTTAAGTGGATCCATTAAGCAAAAATGTCTACCTCTTCCTTCCTTCCTTCCCCCATGCTCCCTTAAAAAAAAAGGATTTTTTTATTTATGCCTGTGTGTATTGGTGCCCACAGGGGCCAGAAAAGGGTCTCAGATCCCCTGGAGCTGGTTATGAGCCACTGGATGAGGATGCTGTGAACTGAACTTGGGTCCCCTGGAAGGGGAGCCAAGCATTCTTTAACCCGAGACTTCTCTGCAGCATACACACCCCCACTCAAGGAACCTTTAGTGACCTTATGCTGCCAAAAGGCCTTCTCGGGGCCAGGTCTGGCTAAGCAAGCAGAGCTCCCCTTGGATGGGCTCTCAGGAGGACTCTGGGTGGACCTCAACTCTACCTGCTCTAGGCTGGCAATGAGATTCCATCATGACCAGGTGATTTCCTGTGTCTACCTAGTCAGGCTCGGGAAGGCTCAGATTGCTGGTACATTACTTTCCTGTATCTGCGGAGGCATTTCTAAAAGAGATGAGTCGCAAAAAGCACTCTCCCCAGTGTGCAGCCTCAGTAATCTGCTATGGCCCCAAAGACCACCACAGTAGAGAGGGGAGATGACTTCACGGAACACCCACTTTCTCCTGCCCTAGATTTATCTTTTGCAGCACTAAGGGGCTGAACTTGGGCCAGGCCAGTCCTGTCTAGTCTATCAGAGTCTCACCCAGCCCTTTACCTGCTCCCCACAGCAGGGCTGCTGACTCTCTGAAGTTGAACTGGAAATAAAACACCAGCCATCTTGGGCCTCCCACCTGCAGACTGTCACCAGGCTTCTCAGCCTCCTTTGTCCCACCAGTGATGCCCAGATGAATCTTCCTGTATATCTGGGTCTATTCAGTTGATTGTTTCCATGGACAACCCTGATTGATGTGGCACCAGGTCTGGCTCATGTCTCTAGTGAGCCATCAGTGCTGAGTAGTCCCTGAGGCTCTAGCCACCCCACCCCCAACACCCCAGGACTGGGGCAGGAGGTGAGCACTGCCATGACTGTGATGCAGGGTTGTGTTGTAGAGGGCATCAGCTGGCAAACAGCATATAGTACATCTGGGCAGCAGTGATCAAAGGTATCCTGGACAGGGGAAGGGCCAGGAAGGGAGCTGCAGGGGAATGTGTAACTAAAGAGCTAAGGAGATGGAGGATGCTTAAGACTGTCAATTCTGGGTCCTGCTTGAACTCAAGCCTGAGGACACTGGGTTGTCATGGAGATGAGGTCAAGTTTACTGTCCACGAAGATTCCCTTTGCTCAAGTCCCCTCCTACCACATGGGAACACTAGGCAATGTGTCAGGCCCTTCTCAACAGCCACTGCCTCCACTTTGGTTGGACCCTAGGCAACATTTTGCTGACTTCCAGGTCACCTCTTGCATGAGGTCTATGTAAGCAATCCCCCAACCCCACTTTCCTTTCCCCCTCACCCATCACTGCTCTCCATCCAGCAGTTAGACATAGTCCTTGAAACAGAAATCAGGTAATACATTTCCTCAGCCCACAATTCCAAGGTCTTAACATCTCACTTGGGAGAAATTCCAGACACCAAATTCATTGTGCCCACAGAACTGGGCCTTTCTCACTACTCTTCCATGATGGGGTTGAACCTGCCCCAGGGCCTTTGTACTTGCTGCCCTGTCCCACTCTTGATTCATCCCACCTTTCCTTTGGTTCTTATGGCCCTTGGTATCCCAGACCAGCCTTGCCTACACTAGCACCGCACCAACCATCCTGTCTATTCCAACCCCATTTCATTTTTCTGTATGACACTTGTCATAAAGTGACTTTATTATCACCCCTTCCTACTGGGATAAAAACAGGACTTAGGCCCACTTGGTCTTTCAGTCTTCAGAACCATAGCAGCTTGGTTAATTTTTACCAGGTAAATATTAACGAATGAGTCGATGGATCAGTGAATCGACTGCTTGCTGTAGCCGCCATGGAGATGACTGAGGGGTGAGGAAGCACAGTTGTCACTGTCTGAGGGGCAGTAGTGGGCTGGGACAAGGGGCTGGGGACAACAGGTGCAGAGGGAAGGCACACTATACTGCCCTGAGGCAGAGTCTGCCATCCAACCACACACATTGCTCTCAGTCTCTACTGAAAGCATCAGGTACTCTGGGGTAGTGGACACATGATCACAAAGGCCAGTGATAGACCCACAAACGGACAGGACACTCGGCTTCTTGTTAGGCCACCTCCAAGGTTTTCTTGAGCGCACAACTATTAATGCCTTTTATGTCTAAATGACAACAGGCAGTGACTGAGCCTCTCTGTGCCAAGCAGGCTGTAAAACGGATAACAGACCACCTAATGCTGCTGGTGCACTACCCTAGACTGCTCTCCACACAGGACCTGGAAGCTCACATCATTGTAGTTCAGGGGCCTTGTAAACCTGCCCCACAGTGATGAGCCTGCAAGGTGTGCCATGGCCCCTGGGGGTGAATCCCTCAGGAAGAAGGTCATGGAACCTTCCTGTAACCCTTTACCTACTGTCATAAGCTTTCTGGAAATAACCTGGGCTAGCCTTCCCAGCCAAGGTGAGTGATGGGTCTAGGCTGTCCATGAAGGTCCTTTCCAGGATTCTACGGTCAAGCTCTGGCCTCAGAGGGAGATGCAGAGCTTGGAGCATCCACACTGTCTACTGCAAGGACAAGAGGAGCCTCTGCCACAGGCACACAGGCCTGTCGCCTGCTGCAGGAACTCAGCCTGCAGGAGACCCTGGGAGAGCAGTGTGAGGCTCAGGTGACTGCATTTGAGTGATCCTGCCCTGTTCCAAGTATTAGGAGCCCAGAGTATCATTTAGACCCTTAAGAAGCACTAACTAGAAGACCATGACTCAGGAGGGGATCCAGGAAGAGTGTGAGTGTCATAAAAGGCCAGTTGGGAACTAGGTGTCTGGAGGACCTATGGCATGGGGCCCTGGGCTGACTCCTCTACACTTCATTGTATGTACCTTCTCATGACCCCCACCATCTGTCACCTCTACTGCAACCATAGCTCAGAGAGGGACATGACATGTCCAAACTTGTACTGCCATTCCATAGCAACTTAGGCTTTACTAAGCCAGGTTGGGGGGGGGTCACTCTACCCCAGAATTGGACAGAATCCTGGTGTTCCAGGTGGAATGGGGAAGAGGAGGGGCAGGGGACATCCAGTCTGGGAAGGAGGCCCAAAGTAGAGCATTCGGCAGCCGGTCAGAGTCCAGCCCAGCCAGGCTCCATCTGCCAGATCCAGACGCTCAGGAGCCCTGAGTCCCGGAGCCATGTTCCTTGTAGTCTGAAATAGCTGTAGACAGCGGGCCAAAACTGGGCAGTGCCAGAAGCCCAGGAGCAGGCTGAGGCCCAAGGTCACAATGTAGCCCATATGCCCTGGCCACTGTACCCCAGCCCCAGCTACTCACCCCCTTCCTCATACCCCCTGACAGCTGATTCTCAATGAATCCCCTCCATTGTACAGCCTGGGTTGACTGAGGCTCAGAGAGGGAGGGCCATCTGCTCAAGGCCACCCAGCAAGACCACAGTGCTTCCCATGGGAGCCAGGGGACCTTTAAGTCCCACTGCCACTGCCCCACAGTTGGGGCAGTGCAGAACAGTCCCTCCCTAATGTCTGAGCTAGTCTAACAGGGTCCAGATTCTCAGACATCTGGCTTAGGGCAACAGAAGTGGGCAAAATGAAATCAATGACCAAGGGCTATCCCTGTGCTGACCTTCACCAAAGCACCCAGGATTCAAGAAACAAGATAGGTCATGCCTGGCCTGAATGTTGTCAAGACCCAGGTACAGCTCAGATGCCTAGAGCCACCTCAGCAAAATTGAGGCTCCTCCCCACAGCCCGACCACCCTCCCCAAGCCACTCCAGTTTCTGCCTTCTGCTCCTTGCTTACATAAAGGTGCTATTTTCAGCTCTTTGTTCTTCTGGTTTTGTTACTTTGATGTCAGGCCCATTGGCCCTCATCCCAAAGTGCACCTGAGGCCTGAGGCTGGACAGCCCATCTTCCCCTCTGTACATGGGGAAACTGAGGCACTGAATCACAAAGGCTTCCAGAAGGCCATAAGAGGGTGGGTAGATGACTGATAGAAAGAAAAAGGGAAGACCTGAGAGGGAGGACGATGAATAAGAGGGATGGGGAGAAGAGGCTCTAAAGAGACAAGGTGGGTGAGGGGAGAACAGTGAGGCAACAGAAAACGGACAGGAGTAAAGAGAAGAGTAGCTATGGTGGCATGGCCAGAGCTGGCTTGAGATGTCACCCCAGGAAAGGTAGAGGACGGTATAAATTGGGGAGCCAGAAGTCCTGGCATCCCTTGGGGT